CGTATATTAACACCGTCTCAGAAGCCACGGCTAGGATATTGGCACCGTATGATGTGAGGGTGGCACATAACCCCAACCAGACGCTGCAATCTAAGGTGATGAGATTGAAAGATCCACTCCCCACCATAGAGAAGTCCAATGTCATTTACAGGATCAACTGTGAAGGTTGTTCTGCTAATTACGTGGGGGAGACCTCCAAACGTGTCAAAACTAGAATTCACGAGTATAAGTTGGCGGTAAGGAGAGGTGACCAGTATTCCCAAATCGGGGCGCATATGCTAGAATCTGGGCATAGGTTCGATTTTAGCAACGTGCAGGTGATGGCCAGTGACAGCACGAAGGGGGGCCGGCTCCTTAAAGAGGTGTGGCTCTCTAACGAAGAATCCATCAACAGACATGTCGACCTATGCCCAGCACATGTAATATTAAGAACATGGGCAATGCGTGACCGTCCCTCCGGAGAAAAACGATGTAACATTACGTGCCTTCGGCAAAGAGGGTTGACGGAGGAGACGGGCTTTGGAAACACCCAGACAGGGAATAACCAGCAGCAGAGTAACTCTCCACCTGCTGAAACATATGCCCCTCCCTCATGGATACAGGAGTGGATTGACAACCAAGAGCCAAGTGCCGATGAATTGAAGGTCTCCCCGGGAACAGCGAGGAGTTTGACAAAAAAGCGATCTGGTATAGATTTTGGGTTATTAAACAATCATGATTCGAAGGATTGGAGTGCCACGTGTAATTCCACCGGCGATCCTGCAACTAACTTTATTAATGACATTTCCCATTTGAACTGTTATTGTCTTGGGAACGCAGGAGAACAACGGGGAGATGAGAAGCCTGTTCGCTATAATCTTAGAGCTTCCACATGCTCCTACAGACATTTGAGAGGTACGACTCCCCGTAGGAATGCACAAGGAGATGCAAGTTACGACTGTAAGGATTCCGCCCCTCTCCTTTTAAGGAAGATTGCATACCCCCAAGTAATGAGTGAATACACGAACAACAGTGAAGGGACAGCTCCCCCGGAAAAAGGGGTCAGCAATCAATTTGTGGGTGCCACGAATTCTGGAGAGGGTGTTAAAATCACCCCCATTGAAGAGAAAATAGAAAGGGGAGTTAATAAAGTGATACGAAGGATCGGGAAACAGGATGATGTAAACACAATGGAATCATGGGCTACAGAGACAAACAATGAGGGTATAGTTTTGAAAGAGGATCGTAAACAGAGAAACAGGGGGAGGATAAGAGAAATAGAGAGTACCAAGAAGGAGGATGAGGTGAATAAACAACATAAACACAGACAGTGCACATCTAATTACGTGGAATTAAGGAGTCCCCCCGACTTACAGTCATGCACAGAAGGGAGGAAGAGCTGCGGTACCAGCACAAGTAAGGAAAGTGAGGAAATTACAGCTTGCAACACAGAAACTACGATCAAAATGCAGGTGGATTGGCTGGGACCCATGACGAGGTCAAGAAGCCGGGCGCAAAGAACACCACACTTATAAATAGCTTCTCCCATCGACTGGAGACTACCCTGATGATGCTGGCAGATGCCAGCGAAAGCTTGGTTTTATTCTGGTTTTATTAAACTTTTTATAGTTTTATAACTTCCTGGTGTTCGTATATTTTATTGTTTAATATATATATATATATATATATATATATATATATATATATATATATATGTAGGTCTTTGGTTGTTCGGGTTTTCTCCCACGTAAAATTGTAAGTGTCTTGGCGACGTTTCGACGAAGTCCCATTCGTCATCTTCAGGCTGGTGCTTTCAGCTTCGTGCTCCTAGAACCACGAAGCCGAAAGCACCAGCCTGAAGATGACGAATGAGACTTCGTCGAAACGTCGCCAAGACACTTCCAATTTTACTTGGGAGAAAACCCGAATAACCAAAGACTACATACAAACACCCGCGAAAACCTCAGAAAACAAATATATATATTTGTATTCTATTCTATTCTATTCTATTCTATTCTATTCTATTTCTCTCTTTTTCTCTCTCTCTCTTTCTCTCCCCCCCCCCTCCAATCTTCTGCTCACCTGGCAAGCTGGCTTCAAGCTGTTCTCCAACAAGCTCAGAGGTAGGTAACCTCCGCTCTTTTATGACTCATGGACTTCAATTCCCAGAATTCCTGAGTCAGCCTAGCTGGGCTAGCTAGCTCTCTCCTGCCCTTCCTGTTTCCTGCAGAGACGCAGCAAAGGGAGGAGCCCCACCCCAAAAGCTTTTCAGCTTGTCGGAATACACCGTGAGTCTACTCTCTTTTACACACACACACACACACACACACACAAACAAACACAAACAGAGAGAGAAGCAAGGAAGCGCAAGTGTCTCTCTCTGTCTCTGTCTCTGTGCAAATGGCAGAGGAGTCTGGGAACCACAGGAGAAGGCTCAAAGAGCCGCATGCGGCTCCGGAGCCTCAGGTTGCCGACCTATGACCTATACCCTTACATATAAGTAACATATAAATATTAATCACTGTCCAACTTGAATACATAATGGAAGGAGGAAGCTTTAGAGTTCACAGGGTTAATACTGTATGGAACAAAACTGTGACTGAATCTGGATGTTCTGCTTCGGATACCACAGAGCCGCCTCCCAGAAGGTAACAAGGAAAACAGATCGTGAAGAGGATGTGTAGTGTCCCAGACAATCTTATGGACCCTGCTCAAGCAACGCTTATGTGCTATGTCATGAATGGAAGGGAGGGAACTGCCAATGATGTTTTCAGCCATCCTCACCCTCTCTGCACCGCCTTTCTGTCTGAAGCAGTGATGTTTTAAACCAGACTGTGGTACTCTATGATAGGATGCTCTTGATCGTCCCTCTGTAGAAAGTAGTAAGGATAGGGGAAGGAAGATGTGCTTTTCTTATGCGACGCAGACAATGCAGGCGCTGCTGTCTCTGCTTCACCAGTGTCTCGCTGTTGAGCGACCAAGCCAGCCTACTTGCTAACTGCACACCCAGGAATTTGATGCTGGTAACCATCTCCACAGGTAAATCATTAATGCACAGAGAAGTGTGGCTGTGCCTGCCTTTTCTGAAATCGACAATGATCTCTTTAGTTTTTCCAGTATTTAAAACTAGGCTGTTTTCCTTACGCCAGTTCACCAAACATTCAACTCCTTGTGATAAACACCCTCATTGTCATCATGAGTAAGGCCCACTACTGTTGTATCATCTACGAACTTCATAATATGGTTGATGGCAAACCTAGCACAACAGTCATGGGTCAACAGGTGAAAGCAGCGGACTTAGGATGCAGCCCTGAGGAGAACTTGTACTCAAGAATCTCATGATTATCTGATGGGATTTTAATATTATTTTTCAACACAGCCTGGCAAATAATTCTGATTTTGCAGACCTCAGAAGAGGTATCTTGGGGTATATAGAGCAAACCTCCTTTGAGGTCAGCTCAGCTTTGTGCAGTGTTCCTGTCAATGGTGTATAGTGTTTGCCACCAACTTCCCAATCCTGGTATTTGGAACTGGTCTCCCATTCAAGTACTGTCAAGGACAGAATGTGCTCTTTCCAAACTCCATGTTAGCCGGGTCCCTATAAACAATTATGTCCTTCTATTATGTTTAGAAATACATATTTTGTAAGGTTCCTTCCTCAGTAACTTAAGCAATAGCTAGAGCATTTTCAGTTCCCATAAGAAAATTCAGGTCAACCCGGCTCTATTTTTGAAGCCCTTCACTGCTGAGGTAATAGCACTGGAAAACTGGAAAATTACAGTAGGTCTCTTTGCTGCCACTATCCCTTTGCTATAAACTGATTTCCTCTTTCCACATCCACCTTCTGGCGAACCAGGAGAGGATTGAATAGAAATCCATATCCTATTCTTTGAGTCTGGTCAATCACCTAAGGAAAACAAAAACAAGACTTTAGGAGTCTGTAACCCAGCCAAATGATAGAAGGCAACCAGTTAGGACTGAAATGAAAAATGAACTTTTTAAAAAATATGCCAAGAAAAATAATTTTTTACACACACAATATCACCCCACTCCCAATGTGATTCCAAATAATATAACCATCAACCTTGCTTAAAGTAACTCCCTCAGCCGGCATCCCGGATAACTCCCTCACGGAAATCACCCCAAACTTTTCCCCAAAAAACACAGAATTTTTCTCTTCCTTCTGGCTCTTGGGGATCAGGCGCGCCAACCTTAGGTCCTTTTGGATTGACTTTTGATTTAAAGGGCCAATTTCTCTCCACTAGTAGATAAATGGGTACCACTTCAATGGGAAAAACCTAGCTGCCTTTGTGTTTGCACAGAGTGGAGGCCAGCACTGGCCCTAGCCAGACACAAAGCAACGTAACACGAGGTAAGACCAGCAGAGGAGCCTGGAAGAGCCAAGAACCCCAGCATCGCTGGTCATCTGTTGTAAGCTAGTTGGCCTCAGAGATGCACCGAGTATAGGCACACAAGTGCCTGACACACTGAACTAGCAATTTAGGCTGACAAGATTGCATTGTGTTTAGCATTTGTAGATTTCCCTGACATTGTGTGCCATTTGCTAAATAAACAAATCACCACTGTGCAGCAGTATTGAAATGGATGAGAAAGGGCAAAGCTTTGTGAACTTCCAAGGCTGAGAGCCAAACGCTTCTATCAGGTCGTCCCCAGGTGCTTTTTCGGGAGGCAACTGGACTTTCTTGGTTTCAAGACTTATTTCAAGAAGCTTCTTGAATAAGAAGCGAAACGTCTTCAAAGAAAAACAAGAAAGTCTAGTTGCCTGCTGAAAAACCTTTGGGACAACCACGACTGAGAATCTTCATAGATACTTCTATTAGGCTTTCCCCTCTCTCGTCTTCCTCCCAAACATGACCTTCGTTTTCTGAATGCAATCTCAGTAATTATTCAAACTCTTTCTGGTAACAGAAATGAGCGAGTTTTTCTCAAGCAGGATATCATTTCCCAGCAGGCTTGAGGAAGTTGACGAAAGAAAACGAGGGACATTTTACGGAGTTTCTAAGGCGTCGAGGACCTATGACGTCAGGGTCGGCTCGCTAGTGTTGTTTTTTTTCCGCCGATAGCTAACTTGCTTTTTCGCGCGAAAAAGAAAATGGGCGGGATGTTACTAGGTGAAGAAGAGACATTGAAGCTGAGGCAGGTACTTCTTTTTCGCTTTGCGCGCGCGCACGCTTGCCCCCGCTGCGGGACTGCCGAGGGAGCTTTCGCGCGACTGGGGGGATACTTTTGGCGGGAATAATTTGTGCGTCCAGGATAGAACGGGATGAGAGAGATTCCTCTCTGAAAATCGCAGGGAAGGAAGTGGTGGGAAAGCTCCCCTATTAACTGTTCTTGTAGATAGCACTTCCCCCCACCCACCCACACAGATACACCTACCTCTTTTTTTCCTCTAAATATAAGCGAGACTTTAGAATATTGTTATATTTATTGGCTCTTCTGTTCTTATAGTGGCTGCAAGATAGGTCAGAACGAGAGGGAAAATGGAGGCAAGCTAAATAACAGAGCTACCCATTCCTTTCAAAAGGAAATATTAGTCCCCAAGGATCCTTTTTATAATATTCTATTTGTATGCTCTTGTATAAATTACTGTGGCAAATTTTATGAGAAAGTGTGATATTTTTTAAAGCAAATCAATATAAAACAGCTTGTCTTATGAAGATGAGTTAAAAGAGAGAAGCAGCATTGCAAAACATCGAAAAGACATTTTCAGACTTAGTTTCTTGCTGTATGATCTGTGGGATTTTATTTCTTCCCTTGCTTTTGCATATATATATTTCCAAATGTGTGTTAAATGAATGAGAAAGTCTAGTGCCTCTTTATGCAATCATTTGTCTTGCAGATCAGCAGTTATTAAAAATGCTGTGTTAATGAGGGAGAAATGGAAGAAAAACTATGAATGTGTATTTATTGCATATATAATGCTAGACAATAGTAATTTCCACATGCTTGCTATGTAAATATTGTGTAAATATTAACATGGAATAGAAGAATGGTTTAGAAAGCCCCTTTAACTTTTATCTGCTAGTATGGCAAATATTATAAATAATTTGATGCAGAAGAAAAGCCTTTAAATTTTAATAGTTCCAGAGATTTTAGACGTCTCTATTACATTCACTAAATTCCAACAGGATTAGTGCCAGTAATGATAGCAGTTTTTAGTCTACAGTAGAATACAAATGTAACCTAGCTGTCAGCAGTGCTGTTCTAGAGGAGGAAATTAGAGGAAGTATAATAACTGCTTGGGTTCTTGGAGGAAGGAATCTAATGTCATATTATGCAGTAGGCTAGTGCTGATATTATTGGTATCATAGACTAGAACTCAGCAGCAATCCAGGTAAAGGATGTCTTTAATGAATTTTTCAGGGTACTGGCACAAAGTTTCTGACTCAAAGTATTTGATACTTGAGGCCATCTTAAATATCATAACCTCCCTCATAACCAATATGCCATCAAATTTGAATAACACATCCCCAAAACAACTTTCATCTGAATGCCTGTGATTCCTTTTTACAATTGATCTTTTAGAACAGTATGTCTTAAACTTTTCTCTCTCACCCTTTCCCACTTTGAATAGTTATAGAGGATGCTAAAATAGGTTTCGTTTGCATGGGTTATATTTATCAATTTTTACCATGTTCAATATTAAAATTGATGCATTCATTGCCACTATTATTTTCACAATTATTTGATGAGATTTAACATTGTGTTATTTTTTTTTAACATAGGCTGGCAAATAATTTTCATTTTGCAGACCCCTAACAGGACTTGGGGGACTTAGAATTATACTTTGAGAAACACTGTCTTAGAACATAACTAACTAATGCTCCAAATAAAATGACACCTCCAATTTAATCGAACTAGAGCAGCATGTTGACATCTTACACAAAGCATATAGAAGGAACCAAGTTACCGGATTCTAGCTTACCTGTCTCCACATTTTTATTGTTTCAGTTTCGATGAAAGAATGTAGAAAACTGGACATGCATGTCAAATTATAATACTATGATTTAAAATTTAAATTGAATTAACTAAATTTCATTTTTTGATGTGTGCCATTGTGCCCACAGTAAAAAAAATGACAATAAAAGTTATCTTCTCTGTTCTACAACTCAAGCAATCCTGGAAAAGATGCTATTTTAACATCTTCATTGAGCTTTTGTTTCACAAATGTTGCCTGCTTTAAAAACTGCTCCCTAGAAAGTTACTTGTTCCCCATTGTCAAGTGCTGTAATATGCTGTCATATGTTTATCCATTTTATGGATGAGATCTGTAACAGCTCAAACCTGACCTGTCCAATGAGAAATAACATTGAAAAGATTTTGCAGGCAGCTTCCACAAAATAAAAATAAAACTGTAGATATATAATTGTGTGCTACCAGTCATTAAATATTTTATGTATAATAATGGGAATAATAATTAAGAGAGATTAAAGAAGCTGAGAAAAGGTGCCTGAGAGGAAGATTGATAGCATTCTTCAAAATCTAAAAGGCAGGACATAGAACAATAAATTAGAGAAAAGTAATTTTTTCAAATGTTAGAAGTGGAACCAACCAGAAGTGGAGAAATAGCAGTTTTTGCTCCATTATATGCATTCAAGCAGATGCTAAATAGCTATCTTTATATGTATGCCTGGGTTGAGCAGGGGTGGGTTTGATGAGCTTAAAATCAACCCAGAAAATGTCCTGTTATGCTTCTAAAAGTAGAACCAAAGAACAGCCCTGCTGAATCAAGCTAAGATTCACCTTATACGATTATTTCTTTCTTCACATTAACAAACAAGGGACTTCTGAGGTAAACACAGAGAGATATGACCTGTTCTTTTTCTTTTGAAAGTGGTATATGGAGGCATGATATCCCGAAGCCAAAGGAAACATCAGGTCTCCAATAGACACACCTTTCATGAATTTATTCAGTCTTTTAAAGCCATCCAAGTCTGCCATCACTACATCTTGTTGGAATTCCAAAGGTCACATTTTTACACAGTTCAAATTCAATCTGCATCTCTTGTTTTCTTTCAGCTGTATCCTAGGAAATAGGATATAATACATATGATAATCCATGAACTTGTTTATGCTAACTATTTTGTGGAACTGGTGAGCTAAGGAAAAATCCAGATCTCTACAATGCAGAGCAACATAAGGTATGTGACAGCATGACATATAAAAGCAAATAAAGTTTGTTTTATTGAAAATTGAAAATTTTCATTTCTGATGTCCAAGACACATTTGAAACTGCAGGGTGAAGTGTTTGACTATGAAATGATTTTTCTGGACTGAACAGCATTACCATTTTAAGAACAAAAGCTAACAATTTCTTGAAATATGTAAAAGGAACATATCAGCAATTAAAATACTTAACAAATAAGTTTTCAAGCCACCCAGTGGCTTACAAGAAAGAACCCCAAATAAGACAACAAACAGTTTTCAGGCATAGGAAAGTGTATCATCTTTTTTAATATATATATATACAGTGGGGCAAAAAAAGTATTTAGTCAGCCACCAATTGTGCAAGTTCTCCCACTTAAAAAGATGACAGAGGTCTGTAATTGTCATCATAGGTAGATCTCAACTATGAGAGACAAAATGAGAAAACAAATCCAGACAATTACATTGTCTGATTTGGAAAGAATTTATTTGCAAATTATGGTGGAAAATAAGCATTTGGTCAATATCAAAAGTTCATCTCAATACTTTGTTATATATCCTTTGTTGGCAATGACAATGGTCAAACATTTTCTGTAAGTCTTCATAAGGTTGGCGCACACTGTTGCTGGTATGTTGGCCCATTCCTCCATGCAGATCTCTAGAGCAGTGATGTTTTGGGGCTGTCACTGGGCAACACAGACTTTCAACTCCCTCCAAAGGTTTTCTATGGGGTTGAGATCTGGAGACTGGCTAGGCCACTCCAGGACCTTGAAATACTTCTTACGAAGCCACTCCTTCGTTGCCCGGGTGGTGTGTTTGGGATCATTGTCATGCTGAAAGACCCAGCCATGTTTCATCTTCAAAGCCCTTGCTAATGGAAGGAGGTTTGCACTCAGAATCTCACGATACATGTTCCCATTCATTCTTTCCTGTACACGGATCAGTCGTCCTGGTCCCTTTGCAGAGAAACAGCCCCAAAGCATGATGTTGCCACCCCCATGCTTCACAGTAGGTATGATGTTCTTTGAATGCAACTCAGCATTCTCTCTCCTCCAAACACGACAAATTGTGTTTCTACCAAACAGTTCTACTTTGGTTTCATTCTGACCATAGGACATTCTCCCAATCCTCTTCTGGATCATCCAAATGCTCTCTAGCAAACTTCAGATGGGCCCGGACATGTACTGGCTTAAGCAGGGGGACCCATCTGGCACTGCAGGACCTGAGTCCCTGGTGGCGTAGTGTGTTACTGATGGTTGCCTTTGTTACGTTGGTCCCAGCTCTCTGCAGGTCATTCACTAGGTCCTCCCATGTGGTTCTGGGATTTTTGCTCACTGTTCTTGTGATCATGTTGACCCCACAGGGTGAGATCTTGCGTGGAGCCCCAGATCAAGGGAGATTATCAGTGGTCTTGTATGTCTTCCATTTTCTAATTATTGCTCCCCCAGTTGATTTCTTCACACCAAGCTGCTTGCCTATCGTAGATTCAGTCTTCCCAGCCTGGTGCAGATCTACAATTTTTGATGTCCTTCGACAGCTCTTTGGTCTTCACCATAGTGGAGTTTGGAGTGTGACTGTTTGAGATTGTGGACAGGTGTCTTTTATACTGATAACAAGTTCAAACAGGTGCCATTAATACAGGTAATGAGTGGAGGACAGAGGAGCCTCTTAAAGAAGAAGTTACAGGTCTGTGAGAGCCAGAAATCTTGCTTGTTTGTAGGTGACCAAATACTTATTTTCCACCATAATTTGCAAATAAATTCTTTCCAAATCAGACAATGTAATTGTCTGGATTTGTTTTCTCATTTTGTCTCTCACAGTTGAGGTCTACCTATGATGACAATTACAGGCCTCTCTCATCTTTTTAAGTGGGAGAACTTGCATAATTGGTGGCTGACTAAATATTTTTTTGCCCCACTGTAGATGTAGTATTGTTTTTTGTCTTTCTTGAAGACCATAACTTCCTTTGGGAGAAATTAGTTGAGCTGTGTGCTCACTATGAGCAGGAACAGTGCCAAAGTATTGGCACCCTGTCTTCTTAGTAGTTGGGCAAAGACAGACATATTAAAGTTTCCAAAAGGTTTCTTTTTAATTAAAGGGTGATTTTTAAAAAAATATGGCTGATCACATACAGCCAGATTTTTGGACTGGATTTGGCATTTTTATCCACCTATTAAATACTTCCAAGGACCTGAGATAGGCAGATCTTGTCTGATTATCATTACAGAATGTAAGCTGTTCCATTTAAAACTGTTTTGCAATTGGTTTTGTAAGAGTTGATGGTGTTCAAGTGGTGCTCCAATTGTTTTGGGATTAAACCCAAATTGCCTCTTAAAATTGTTTCTATCTTTCCATTTTATCTTTGTTTTCTTTTGCCACAATCATTCTACATCTATTTGCTGGTCTTTGTATTTTGGGATTTTCTCCAGTTCGATCTCTTCTCTTCTGTACTACAGCATCCACCATCCAGATTTTTTTGTCTTTTTTATTGACCGTTACTGTAAGTCTGGGCTGTTATGTGACAGGAGTTAGTTTGTTTCAATTCTAAAGTCCCAGAGCACTTTAGCCTCCTCATTTGTATTATTTTGCCTATTTTGTGGTCCTACCAGTTCTTGCTTGCAGGCAAATGATGTTTCCTGAAGATATTCCAATACACCTCTGTTGCCATTTAGTCATGCCATTGTTTCTAGTTAGTTTGTGCGATCTTACAGGTGCTGGGGGATTCACCATTTCTTCAACTTCTTTGCAGAGGCAGCATTTGCTACTGCTATTATATATATTTATCCTGCCCTTTTATTTAGGTACGCTTTTCCATTATCTATTTTAAGCTATCTACCGGTATGTACTTGCTTTATTATGGAAGCTTCTGGCTTTTTGAACTGGAAAGCTGTCAGAAACTAAGATATCATTCTGTTTCTTGTAAAAATTATTATGTACTCTGCAGCCCTGAGAACGAGGAAGAATATGTAAACCATGTTTATTTATGTCTGAGCAGATCATTCTTCCAGCCTCTGGCACGAATAAAGTCTGAAAAAGAAAAAGCAGAAGACAGCCACATGGAAGATGTGCTTATTTCACAAAAGTGAGTTACCTTGAGATATGTACTCATACACCAAGCTGCAAAGTCTATTCATCATCTTAGACAATCTTGAAATGATTCTTCTACCAAATCTTCGAAGAATACTGATTTTGAATACATAGTCCTTGCTACTTTTCTATAACTGACTTTTAACCAATATATACAATAAATAATAATAATAAACACTTTATTATCAAAGTATAACATGTATACTGTGAAATTGGCTGAGCCTCCCTCAGTCCCCCCCCCACCACAAACTCATGGTGACTACAACTCCCCAACTTATTTAACCCTGTGAACTAATTGCACATTACGTCGGCCTTACGAGTCTGTCATGCATAAAGTTATGTCCCATTCAGAAGCCTGACAGCCCATGGATAAAAGCTATTCTTCAGCCTGTTGGTACGGCTGGCTATGTTTCTGTATCTCCTACCCAATGGTAGGAGAGTAAAAAGGTACCAACCAGGGTGTGAGTGAGAATAAATAGGATATTTAGTAGTTCAGTAATTAATGCTAAATACTTTGTTGTCAGGAAATTAATAAATGGTTCAGAATTCGGTGAAGACTTCCCGGTGAATTCTGCATCAAAAAAAGTTGCTAAGGTCCTTAAGAGTGATGATGAAGAAGATTCTGTGGAATTAGTTGGAAAGGATGCACAAGCAGATGACAACAAGTTGGTAAGTCAGTTCCTATAACATCCTAATATTTGATCCATAAAGAACTCTTTGACCTCTTAATGCAGATTTTCTGATTTTATCTTTCAAAAATACAGATTTTATTTTTAAAACATATTTTTATTTCTGATTGCTCAGAGTTGTTGGGAGTTGGGTTTCTCATTTAATTTCAATTGTAGCACATATATAAGTTAGATTGTTCTTATCAGACTAGCATAAAAGTTATAATAAATACTGATTTAGTCCTCTTTTATTGTAATGTTCAATCCAAGATGTATGATTGTCTGTGGTTATTCTTTCTGTCAATACTATGTCAGTTAGTACTGCTCTCTTTTTAGAGCCCTGACTGTGTTTCTGAGCAAAAGATCTCTGAAGAGAGCATCTCTCCAAGTACCAGCCCAACTACCACCAGTTCAACCATATCTTTCAATATCCCAAGGCGCAAAACTGGTAAGTTCATCCTCTTGATCATCCAACTCAGAAAAGTTGGTGTACAAGAAACCATTTCAATATCTTTGCTCTATAGGTATTTTAATTCTAACATTATTATTTAAAAGACTATTGTGCAATCCTAATAGAATTAGGAAGTCTTGAACTTAGAGAGTAGTTCTGGTTTCACAGTAGACAGCTTTCCACAACTTTTCATGTTTTTGAGGAATTTAGTAATCTGAAGTCCATCCAAGTTGCAGAAAGCTGGATGAGAATAGAACCTTAATGACTAACCCCATCAAATCCATTTGGCTCAATTTGATTTTGATAGAGGGTTAGTTTTAATGCCTGACATTTATTATAGACCACTCATTTCATCAAGTATGGTATATTAGAAATGTCAACAAGCAGTGCTACGCAGCCTCACCAGCTTCATTGTGATAGCTCTGGTATAAGAAAGCAGATTGAAGTCTTAGCTTCTTGAAACTCTTCTAACATGTAGTCTACAGCCAAGATTGCCTATGACAGAGTTTTTCAACCAGTGGTACGGGTACCACCTGTGGTACATTGGCACCTGGCAGGTGGTATGCGACCATCCTAGAAAAGTGGTAGCGGGGGAGAGGAATGAGCTGAACCATTGGCAGCACCGCGCAAGCCTGAGCGAGAGATGGCTGGAGCTGCAGGACTGTCAAAGCTCAGTGGAAGCACCAGGATCAGCACCAGGCTCCAGCTGGAGCTCGACGCTGATCCTGGCGCTTCTGCTGAGCCCTGAAGAAGCACCAATCAGCTGGAATGTTGCCTTATCTCCAGGGTCTTGTGATTTACATTCAGATGTGTGGCAACTGATTCATATTTATGATGGTCACAGTGTCCCAGGGTCATGTGAAGTGACCAAAACCTGCTGCAACCACCCATCAGACGGGGGGAATAAAAACTACACATACCCCACCCCACCCCCGCTGCCAATCCTCAACAGAAATGCTCACAACAATGAAAACCTCGGACAGGAGGTAGAGCGCCGCCAGGTGGGCAGGCAGGTGTCTTGTTCGGCTGTGGCTTGGGGGGCACTTTTTCAGTGCCAATGTAAGTTCGAACAGTCACTAAGCGAACTGTTGTAAGTCGAGGACTACCTGTACTTTATCACTTTTTTACTTTTTTTTTTTTTTGTCATCAAGTTTTTGACACCTTGCTAGGCGACTGGTGGTACTCGGATATTGCCGTATCCTAAAAGTTGCCAATTCAGAATTGAGGCCTACTTCTCTGCTTCTTCCAACTTCCTGTTTTTGCTACTTAGAAACATTTGCATTGAGTTCTAGAAAGCAAAACTTCGAAGAAGATCAAAAAAGCAAAAGAAATCCACACTGTCCGTCTAGAACAGGCATGTAAAACTCGCAACGTTGCGCAACATATCGTGACTTTTTCCCCATTGCTGACAATGGGGTGGGCACAGTTTCAGTATGATGCATCCGGCCTGCAGGCTGGCAGTTTGACATGCCTGATCTAGAATAACGAGGTTTTGTGTGGCATTCTGTAGACATCCTTTATCATTTAACTATTTTCTTTATCTGTATCTTATCACTTTTGTAAATCTTTTTTGCTTAAGTTAAGACATACTTTTGATAAAGAAATTACATAGGCAGGACTTTTGATATTAATTAAATACAGCATATCAAATTTCTTATAATCTCTTACTTGCTTTAAGTGAAGTAAAAGTTTCCTAATTGTTGGAAAAAGTAGTGCCAGTTTAACTGCAAATAAAATTTACTTTTACCTTTAGCCCGCAAGCAACTTTCTAAACGTAAACCACAGGAAGAAGACAACAGTTATAATTTCCATGAAAGCCGCAGTACCAAACGATGGAAGGAAGACCTTGATAGAGATGGTGAGCCCTTTATTGTCTGTTTATTAGAATACAATGGTTAATATGAGGAAATCAAAAGGGTACTGGAATAACTCAGTGACTTGCTATTGAGTCTTATGGAATGAAAATGGCTATCAGACAAGACAGTAGGAAAACTGGTCTAAAATACTGAATATAACTTTGTTGTTGTTTTTTAGAAGTACATTTTTTCTGAATTACTTCTATGTTAGTATAGTTTACCCAGTTAGAGATTAAGTTTGACTCAATCATTAAAATCATATTTTTTTACATTCTAAATTAGGTCCACGGTTTTCGTTTGCAACATATTTTTTGACCAAAAAATAATATAGTGTAGAGTCCAATCATGTTTGCCAATGCTCATATGAAATTGCCCTGTCTTCAGATCTTCTGTAGGCTTTTCAAGTTCAAAATATTGTTCTCTAAATGTTTGTTTCACAGAAGTTGTCTGCAGCTATCTTGTGTATCAAAAAGCAAGTCAAAGCAAACTTGAGTTGAAATGAGTTAGGCTTTAAAACTTAGTTAAATTTTCTACAGATAATATTAAACATTTGGTTTCTGCTTTATATTTAGATTCTAAAGATAAAACTAATGAGAAACCCATGGAAGTGGAAGAAGTGAAAAGTGAAAATGAAAAATTGGTGCAGTATAAAACAGACAAAAATGCAAAGGAAAAAGAAATCTCAGATTCCTCTAAGCCATCCAGAAAGTCTATTTCTAGTTTTTTTGGTATGTTTGAGATGTACCATCATTTCTGCATTGGAGTAAGACCAGTAAGATAACCAAGATTATCATTATTGGGATGATTTTTTAAAAAAAAGAACTCCATAAACCTGTCTTTTTTTAATTTAGGGGTGCAGAAGAAGATAGTTGTTTATAAGAAAAGAGATATAATAGAATTAAGGTGGCATATTAAGAGAAAAACTAATTTCATATACTTCCTCTAGGGGCCTGAACTAGTGGTGACTGATAAGGAAAGATACTATAATTGGATAGCTGAATAACAGCATTGTATCCAGTTACTATGGGAAGAAAATAATCTGTTGGTGATAATTAGTAAAGAAATTGCAAATAAAATACCATATAATAACTTTCAAACAATTATGATATTATTGCAATTAGAATACTCTGTACAATCTAGTCACATCTCAAAAATTATATTGAAGAAATAAAAAGGAGTACTTTATCTAGAACCTATCTAGAAAAGTTGAAAATGTATATTCCATATTAACAAATGCTTTACAGAAATTAGGATTATTTTTAATATTCTACAACATACAATATAGATAGTCCTTGACTTACAACCACAACTGGGACATAACATAAGCATCGGGGAAAGTATGAGACATTTAAGTTTCTGAGGCCATCATAACTTCAAACCATTGTTAAATTAATAATCATAAGTTAACAACTAGCCATAAAGAGAAAATATGCCCACAAACCAGCAATTCATATAAGTGAGATTATCACAATTCTTACCTCCTTTATAATTTTAGGGGGGAGACTACTTTTTTAGCTGGTAACAGATTCTGTTTAATGATTTTGATTTTATCCCTGACTTGAAGACCATAATAGGAACCAGAAAAATTATTAAGTAGTGCAGTCATTAAGTATGGCATCACATGATTATATCTGATCTTGATATGACCTTTCTTTTTGTTTTTAGTCCTTTATTACATGTAAGTATTTAAAAAGCAACATGGTGGCTTTTAACATGGGTTAATAATTCAATAACATACAAAAATCTTTAGTACAAATCTCAAGTTAAAACATCATATATTTCCTCTCTTTTTCCCTTAATATCTACTATCTCGTATTTAAGCTAATACAGTTCTTATTATATCAACTAAGTAAAAATATCTTTATTACATTTATCAGTACATTTTTAGCATATACATATCTTAATTACTTTTACGTTCAATCTTTATAATGTCCTGTTATTGGTTTTTTTCTCAATTTTTAGTTTCCCATCAATATTCAGATTTAACATTTGATATTTATAATTTCCAGGCTTTAGGTAACCAAGGTTTCCCTTATCTCAATTCATAACAGAATCTAATATTCAAAATACACATCTTATCTATTTGAGTATAATCTTGTTCTATTTTCTAAAAGTTATCTATTAAATCATCTAATTAATAATACAGTATCCCCTTCAATAAATCAAAACCATTTTATATATATATATATATATATATATGTTTTCTGAGGTTTTCGCGGGTATTTGTATGTAGGTCTTTGGTTGTTCGGGTTTTCTCCCACGTAAAGTTGGAAGTGTCTTGGCGACGTTTCGACGAAGTCCCATTCGTCATCTTCAGGCTGGTGTTTTCAGCTTCGTGCTTCGAGGATCAATGTGTGGTCTTAGCTGTTTCTTCCTTTTAACTGCCAGTGGGGTATGAACTGATTGGGTGGGAGCTTGGCTGTGTTCTGATTGGGTGGAGGTGTGTTCTGATTGGTTAGGGGCGTGGCTGTGCTCTGATTGGCTGGGGGTTGGCTGTGCTCTGATTGGCTGGGGGGTTGGCTGTGCTCTGATTGGCTGGGGGAGTGTTCTGTTTGGTTGTGCTCAGGTTAGTCTGAGTTGCAGAGGGAGTCAAGATTTTGGGCTGCCCTGCCATTCCTTGGCTTCGTGTTCGTGGTCGTGCTTCCTCTTCATGGAGGGTGTCAGTTTGCTTCATGTATGGATTGGGGGGGTTTAAAGTGGCTAATGATGCAGCTGTGGTCTGGCTTCTGGTTTGTGGTCGTGCCTCATAGTCAGTGTGGCTTTGGATTTGTTTTTTGCGTGGATGTTTGGTGGTGACATCCTGTGTGGTTTTTGTGAGTGTGGGTCTGGTATCATTTTTTGTGTTAGGGAGTCGTTTGTCCATGAGGGCGGGTTTCCAAATGGCTGGTAGTCCCCCGGGGAAAAAAAAAAAGGGGTGGTGTAATCATCCTCGCTTTGTTCATGGCTGTGTGGCGTTTTTTCTATCGCGTGGCTTCTCTGATTATTCTTGTTCTTAAAAGTTCACTTTGCAATGGTTTCTGGTATTTTTAAATCATTTTCTGTCCCTGTAGCTTTAAGGTGTTGGACCAGGTAGATGTTGGTTCCTCTTTTTGATGATTCTTATGTTCTTCATGCGTGCACTTATTCTTCTGTTGGTTTGTCCGATGTATGTGGTGGGACAAGTGGTGCATGGGATTTCGTATACTCCTTGATTTTCTAATTCATTTTTATCTTTGGGGTTTCTAAGGATGGTGGATATTTTTCTGTTTGTGCAGAATGCTGTTTTGATGTTGTGTTTATGAAGGATCTTACTGATTCTGTCTTTGGTGCCTTTTATGTATGGGAGGAGGGCTTTGCCGTTTTCTTGTTCTTTGTCTTGGATTTTGGTGGGGGTTTCTTTTTGGATTAGGTTTGTACTTATTTCTATGGAATCCCTGGATGTTAGTACATTGGGGAGAGTGTTATTTTTCGGGTTTTAGGTGTTGGTCGTCAGCTAAGCGTTTTGTTCTGGAGATGAGTGTCTTGGCTACAGAGTTGATCTGTGCTGGGTGTTGGTGTGAGAGAGCGTGCAGATAGCGGTTTGTGTGTGTTTTCTTCTGGTAGATGGTGTGTCCTAGGGAGCCATTGGATTTCTTGTAGACTAAGACATCCAGGAAGGGAAGTTGGTTGTTAGCTTCTGTTTCCATGGTGAACTGTATTTTGGGGTGTAAGCTGTTGAGGTGTGTGAGGGAGGTGTCCAGTTTTTCTTTCCCATGTGGCCAGATTATGAAGGTGTCGTCTACGTATCTGAGCCAGAGTTTGGGTTTGTGATCCGATTTTTCTAGAGCTTGGGTTTCAAAGTGTTCCATGTAGAGGTTGGCAATGACAGGTGAGAGGGGTGATCCCATGGGTGCTCCTTCTGTTTGTTTGTATTTTTGTCCGTTATAGATGAAGTATGTGTTGGATAGGCAGTGGTTGGTCAGATCTAAGATGTGTTTGGGGGGGTTATATTTGTTTTGGATAGCTGTCAAGGCTTCTTTGATAGGCACTTGTGTGAAGAGGGATATGACATCGAAGCTCACTAGTAGGTCGCTGGGCTGTAAGTTTTGTTTCTTTATGATCTCTATAAACTGGAATGAGTTTTTTACGTGTGAGGTAATGGATTCTGCATAGGGCTGTAGTTGTTTGGCGAGAAATTTGGCTAGGTTTTGTAGAGGTGAGCCTATGGAGCTGACTATAGGTCTGAGTGGGGTTCCTTCCTGGTGTATCTTGGGGAGACCATAGAGTTTGGGGCATCTGGATGATTTCTCTCTGGGAATGATTCTTTGCTGGATCTCTTCGCTAATGGGGAGGCTTTTATTTTGGATCTGGTGGTTTTTTCCAGGTAGGTGGTGGGATCTGTATTTAGGGGTTTGTATGTGGAGTCTTGGAGTAGGTTGGTTAATTTGTTTTGGTAGTCAGATGTGTTCATAACCACCGTGGCGTTGCCCTTGTCTGCTGGTAGGATTATTATGCTGGTGTCTTCTTTCAGGTTACGTAGTGCTGTCTGTTCCTCTTTGGGTAAGTTGCTTTTGGGGGGCTTGCTGGTGCAGAGGATGTTGGTGATTTCGAGTCTGATTCTGTTGGTGTCGTCGGGGTTGATTTTGGTCAGGCTGGTTTCAACTCCACATATAATGGTTTCAGTGGGGATGTGTTTGGGAGCGACTGCAAAGTTGAATCCTTTG